TCTCCCCCCTAGTGGAGTTGTAATAGCGCAATAGTGCCTTTTTTATTTTGTGAATTCTGACACCACACAAACAACTGCACATCCATGTGCCTAATGCGGACGACTCAGTAGAAAAGAGGTAGGTTGTCAAAAGGGCGGTACTATTACTGGGTAAATTTACCTGTGCTTGTGAAATACACAGCAAATCAGAAGTAGCAAAAACACTGCTGCTGAAGTGAATGTGTCCGCCATGTGTCTCAATGTGTCGTTTTGAGCAACAACAGAATGCGTCAAGTCGGGAAGTGGTAACCTTAACAAGGTATTTTTAAACGATGTCAAGGTTTATGGAGTGTTCATAGTTGGCGATCGTGCGTGCGATCGGGCGATTAGGCGATTAGGCGAGTAGGCGACTAGGCGATTAGGCGATTAGGCGGGAAGACTACATACGTATTGATTGGTTTGCTCCGCCCATACGTTGTAGGCGAGTAGGCGAGTAGGCGATTAGGCGATCGCTCAATGGGCGGAGCAACAATCAATATATCCTTCCCTTATCGCCTACTCGCCTAATCGCCTATTCGCACGTACGATCGCCAACTATGAACTCTCCATTAGTGAGAACAGCTTGCAAGCATGAGTTCTACCGGCTGATAATATCTGATACAACGGCGAGTACAAAGTGATTAATCAGTCCGACGATTATGAAGCACAAAAATGTCACTAATGTTTTAACACGCTCCTGGCCTATATTCTCGCTCTTCCTGTTGTCGTAATGGAATACGAATGGTGGTCGTTTCGTCTGAAATTTTGAATGGATAAAAAAGCAAGGAGTAATATCAGTGGTACAGTATGTCCCACAATTATTGCAACATGGCTTTTGCCTAAATTCTCTCAAAATGGATCTGATCGAAATGGTATCGAAAAAATTTAGTCTAACATCAGTCTATTACAGTCAATGACAACTTGTTTTCTTGTCGCTATAATTATGGCCATGAGTAACTTCAAATACGATCCCACTGCAGCAGGCAGACCATCCATTCTAAATAACCTCGAAGGTATAGTTGAGCAGGTTGAGATCGAGGGGCAAGCTTTGATCAAGGACTTGAATTCGGAAGGAGTGGCACGACAACAGCCCTAGGCAATTTTAGCTCTTTGCAGGAACACCGTCCTTTCTGAAAAGCCCATCATTCTTCTTCAAAGTGGTTTAGAAATATTATGCAACAGAGCCTATGTTGGAGCATTTGGTCGAGCAACGTAATATCTGTAGTTGAACTAACGCACTACTCAAGCAAAAGATGCTACTACAGCCATGGCGTGGGACGAAACCGCGATGGCGCGTCTAATCCTGATGAGCGTCTCACTGTGAAAGGCATGACCGGGCTGCTTGGGCTGTGCTTAGCGAACGATGTCTCAGTCTCCATGATGGAGATTCATGCTGAGCATCGCTGACAGCAGATCCATCGCGCGGCTAGGCAGAGTCAGCGGACCAGTCGCAGCGCTGATGTGCGACAGAATGTGCAGTAGCGATCAAAAGTATGGAAACATTTTTATTTTTGTCCCAGCGGTTCCAGTAAACAACGAAATTGCCTCAAATTCACATATTGTACAGAAAATCAGGTATATAGTATACTATACGAAGTGCAACATCTGGCAGTCTACCTGACAATCAAATATCATAAATGAAAAAATATCGATCCTAAAAAAGGTGCGTCAAATGATACCACGATTCCAGAGTGAATTCGGTGCATCCGCTTTTTAATTCACATGAGAAGTTAGTCATTCGTTTGGTAATCGTATACCTCCATCACGGCGTCGCTTTTTGTTGTCATCGAAGTGATCAGAACATTTTTTGTACTTTCAGGTCGAAGCTTGCTTATGAACGAAATGTAATTGGCCTTTGATATTTTCCACTGATATTTCCCAAAGCATCGTAGTTTTGAGACTATCCCTGTGTTTAGCCTGGCCTACATTTCCGCTGGATACCTAGAACTGAAATCGCCGAATGATCCGACACATCCTCATCTATGACGACACTTCAGCTCTTTCTGATTGTTGGATTCTATTATAGTAGGTGAAATTAGGAATTGTATTAAAGAAACACTTCGCAAAGATGAAAACTTCATTACAAAAAGGGCCGAAGTACGACTCCTTGCTGAGCACAATTTTTCACCTCTGGCCTTTCCTCCAGGCCAGCCATTTACCTGCGGAAGCCAGTCGGGTTTTCCTTCTCTCAATGTTCGACATGAAACTTCTTAGAATGCGTTCCGTACTATTGGTCAGAGCCTTGCCGATATTGGGAAGATCATCAAACCTTCAGACTGTGATGAAGTCCCAAAAAGTATCTTTTTGAGTATTTCGGAGACGAGAAATCACTAGAGCTTAAGCTGCGACTCGCCCGCTGACTCTGCCTTCTTGCCGCGCGGCAATCCTTCTCGTCGGGTTACCTGCGCTCGCCAGTCGCCGGGTCTCCGCGTTGATCGTCAAGACCATCGGTTCGTTTATTCGTATGTTTTACATCATTTTACGCATATGGTCAGGGGGACCACGCATAGCATTCACGTGCACGCATTCCATTTCGAGCTGTTGTGGGCACCCACAGGAATTCCACGTTTCACCGCGTCCCGTGGAAAGGGCACCGATGCACTTTCTTCGAATCTGTTTATAAGAAACGACAATATCTGCATCGAGTTTGGTTTTCTTCACCAGACACCGGTGGGAACAAGACAAAAGTCGCAACCCCTGCTAAGCTCATGACAGGAATTGGCAAATCGCAAAGGAGAATCCCTTCGGTTTCACTGCTCTCCTCGGGAGTTCGGAT